AATAATTTTTTATAAATTACAAAAAAAAAAAAAAAAAAAAAGAAAGAAAGAAAAATCTAAATTAATAATTTAAATGTGAAGTACATCTAAAAAAAAAAGTTAATTATTTTAGCATTAAAATTTTTATGTGTATTATGTTTTTGGAAAATATTACATTATTTCTATCAAAGCCAAATACTATTTTTTAATTTTTTTTTATCAAAAACTATATTAAATTTTATTTAAAAATTAATTTGTTTTATTAAAAGAAATTATAACTTTACATTAACTTTATCTCTATATTTCATACATAATAATTGCTCATATATATAAACTTCTAACACATTGAAAATTTAATATTTTTTCTAAAAATTACAATATATATTTACAATTTTTTTTTTTTTTTTTTTTGTATTTATTTTAAATTTTATAATTGTTTAAAGCTCTATTTAAAGAGATATTTTAACAACTTATAATTAACTACAACATTACTAGAACTTTTAGATTAATAGAATTGGAAATTATATATATTTAAATTTAAGTTTTTAATAATTATCTTGTGAATATATGTCTGGTATGAAAAACTTCATAAATATTGAAAATAAACTGGCTTCTTTAACTACTTTAAATACTAAAAATCATTGTGTTAATTTAACAGACTATTTTTTTTCTTTTTTTTTGAAAAAAAAAGATGAGTAAAGAAGTATTATTATCTTTATTGCAAAATGCAACTACTCATTTAAATGGTGAAATAATGGAAATAACAGAAGATATTAATTACATGGAAAACGAATTGAAGATAACTAAGAATAAAAGAATATGTGATGTTTTGAAAAGGAAATATAATGAAAGAAAGAAAAAAAAATATGAAGAATTAAATGAAATTTTTTCACAATATATAAAATTTTTATTAGACAAAAGAAAAGATTGCATTGAAGATTCATCTCCACAAAAATTAGAAGGAGAATTAAAAATAAAAAAAAATCTAACGGAAAACATAAATAAAACAAACATATGCAATGAAGAAGAAAATGAAACAATTCTAAGAGACATGTATCAAAAAAGAGATATATTAAAAAATATTTTTCATTTAATTAAATCAAATAATATGGAAAATTTAAATTATGAAAATTCACAAAGATTATTATCTGATTTAATATTAAAATTAAAATTTATGGATAAATTTACTGAGAATAACTGTGACGAAATAACAAGCAAAGATAAAAGTAAATCAAAAACAAGTATAATAAAAAATGATAAAAGAATAAACAATATAGATAAACGAATTTTAAATTATTTAAATGGTAATTATGATTTATCCTCAGAGATAAATGAACATTCTACTGCACCTTCAGCATCATCACTTGTATGTGTAAGCAGTGAAAAAACAAGTGATAATGAAGAAAATAATAGATCAATAAATTTAAAGGAAAAAGACCTTTCTAAAAAGGTAAAGAACATATTATTAGAGAATAAGAAAAAAGAAAAAAAAAATCATGCTTATTTTAATAATAAAATTCCATTTGAAAATGCTAAAACATTAGAAAAAAGAAATTCGTTTTATTCAAAACATCAAACTAAACATGAATCACTCAATAAATTTTTATTAAACGATAAATTAAAAAAAAATTATTCTGGTAAATTATTAAATAAGTTTAATTTAACTAAAAAAAGCTTTAGCAATACAGAAACAAAATTAAAAGTATCATTTTTAAAAACTAAAGAATTAAATAAAGATAATTTATTTCTTATAATGAAAAATCAACAAATAAATAATAGTTCTGAATTAAAAGGTAAAATCAGCATAAAACCAAATAATTTTTTGAAAACTTGTATGACTAGTCAAAGTAGCACCTTTAACAATAATTCTAAGGCATCATTTAAATATCTTTCATCTTTAAATGGAAGTAATAAAAATATTCATAATAAAGAAATTAATCAGAAAAAAGATGAAAAGGACAGAAAAAATCACTCAAATTCTTCTAGTTCTTTTTCATCTTCCTCTAATTTTGAATATAAAAAATCTAGATCTGACTCTAATAGTTCTTATGGAAGAAAAAAATATACATTTAAAATTAATAAAAATGGAAAAGGAGTTTTTTCAGTTAATAAAGAAGATAAATTATCAAAAAACATATATGAATTTGAAATATTATATGATTCTGATTTTGATGAATCAGCTAGTCTCAATAGTACAAAAGATAAACATAAAAAAATTTTGCATTTTTCATTTTTGGAGAGTGGGAAAAAAATATATGCAATCAAAAATTTGTATATGACAGATGATGAAGAAATTAAAAATCTCCATTTTTATAATTATAATTGCTCTAGTATAGAAAATGAATATAGAAATAATAATAGCAAAGAAAGTTCTAATAAGGGAAAAAAAGATATGGATGTTTTAGAAGATACAATAAAAAATTTAAAAGATGAGAATATTAGAAGAAAATATGAACTTACTAAAATTATAGATGATATAAAATATAAAAATGTGAATATAAATGAGGAAGGATCTTATAATGTTGAATTCGTAGAAACTAATAGATTAAGAGGATTATATCTCCAAATGCTTGAAAAACAAAGTGAATTAGAGAGAGATAAGAATTTTTATAAAAATGAATTAGAAAAATTGCAAAAAGATATAAAAAATAGTACATTGCCTATTTCTGAGTTCTTTAAAGAAGAAAAGAAAATTCTTTTAGAAAGAGAAAAAGAATTCTATAGAAAAGAAAAAAATTATTTAAAGAAAAAAAATGAATTAAAAAAGACTATCCTTGAGCTTCAAAATGAGTTAGATTTAACTCAAAAAAGATTGATTAAGGAAAAAGAATTAAACGAAAGTTTGAACAATATAATAAAAGAGCATAACAGTATTTTAGATAAAAATAAAACTGAACAAAAAAACTTAGATAAAATAAATGAAAATAAAATAAAAATGTTAAATGATGAGTGTGAGAAGTTAAAGGAAGTTATTGTACAGGAAAAACAAGATAAAGAGAAGTTAACTGAAGAAATTAATATTCATTTAGGTGAAATTGAAAAAATGAATGAACAAATAAATCTATTAAAGAATGATAATACTTTTAGTAATTTTAGAAAAATAGTTTTAGAAAAAGTTAATAAAACAGACGGTGATATAAAATATTTAGCACAAATGCTTGAATTACTTACAAAAGAATTAGAAAATAAAACAATTAAAGAAAATATTATTAATAAAAAAATAGTAAAAATGGAACAGAATTGTTTAAAAAATAAAAAATTATTGAATATATCAAAAAGAAGACTAAAAAATAAAAAAAATAAAATGAATAATATGAATGAAGAAATTTCCTATTTAGTTAAGAAAAATAGAAACTTAATAAAAACCATAAAACATTTGAAATTACAAAATTTAGGTTTAACGAATATAAAAAAAAAAGGTAAAGAAGATTTTATTGTTATAGATGAAAAAAAAAAAAAAAAAAATGATACTATAATTCATGATCAAACATATAATAACATTATTAAAAGCAGTGATACTAATGGAACAAATATTGCATCATATATGTATAAAAATAGAAAAGAACAATTAAATAATAATCAGAGTTTCACAAGTTTTTCTGATGGAAGTTCCTTACTTTTGTGTACTGCAAATACAAAAAGAGGATATTCTTTTGAAGAATTAATGAATAGTATAGATAAACCATAAGATATATAAATATTTCATAAAAATTTTACATATAAAATACATATATATAAAAATTTTTAAATTAAAAATTAAACAAAAAGAAATAATAACAAAATTACATAAATTGTATTTAATGATTTACATAAAAAATAAAATAATAAAAAATATAAATATAAGTATGAAAATGTTTACATATATAACTAATGTTTGAAACGCATTATTAAGTAATAATATTTTTCTTTTTCTTAATATTATTTTTTTACTTAATTATTTTATATATCCGCTTATTTATTTATTTAATTATTTTATATATTAGTTTAATTATTTATTTAATTATTTTATTTGTCCATTTATTTATTTTATTTGTTTCTCTAGTCATTTTATATGTCTATTTTTTTATTCTACTATTTCATTATTTTATTATTTGTTTAAATAATATGTATTATTGTCATCATATAATTAGAAGTTGTTGTTTATATGTTTGCAATAGTTTATGCTTTTATAATTTTTACTTTTTTGTATTATTTTGTTTCATTAAACTCTTTACATGTTTTAAAAGGAACTGTCTTATATAATACTATTTTTTTTTTTTTAATTATCAACTGAAAAAAAAAATATACACATATTTTTTAAGTGAAATTTTAATCTAAAATTATATACTTTTTTCATTCTCTAGTTTTAATAAATTTAAATATAAATTATTTTTCTTTTTTTATTTAATATTTAATCTTGAATTCCACTTAGAATTTTTTTTTTGTAACTTATTTTTAGTGGTTTTTATTTTAGTTCCTCTTGTTTTTTTTTTTTTTTTTTTTTTTTTTTTTTGTTTTTAATATATACATTTAATAATATTCGAAATTTTATAAATNNNNTTTTTTTTTTTTTAATTATCAACTGAAAAAAAAAATATACACATATTTTTTAAGTGAAATTTTAATCTAAAATTATATACTTTTTTCATTCTCTAGTTTTAATAAATTTAAATATAAATTATTTTTCTTTTTTTATTTAATATTTAATCTTGAATTCCACTTAGAATTTTTTTTTTGTAACTTATTTTTAGTGGTTTTTATTTTAGTTCCTCTTGTTTTTTTTTTTTTTTTTTTTTTTTTTTTTTGTTTTTAATATATACATTTAATAATATTCGAAATTTTATAAATGGAAAAAATAATATGTATCTTTGAATTTTTACAATTAGATTTTAATATTTTTTATTTCTTCTGTAATAATGAAAATATTTATTTTATAATAGTTAAAATCTTAAAATATATATATAATAACGATGAAAAAAAAAAAAAAAAAATATATATATAAATTAAATGATACCTTTGTTTCCATCAATAAAAATGCTTTGTTATGAATTTAAAAAAAATTCATTTATATAATAAAAATCATTTTCTTAATTTGATAATAATATTTAGAAATAAAAGGTAACGAACAATATTTGAGTTTAACTTAAACATCAATGTATATCAAATAGAAGTATTAAATTAAAAAAAGAAAAAGAAAACAAAGTTTTAATAATTTTAAAGTAATAAGATTTACAAAACAAAGTTGCCTATAAGTGTTAATAATATCTACTCATAAAAATAATAAGTAAAATAATAATTTGGTAGTATTTTTTCTCTTAAAAAATATATTTAGAAAAAACCTTAATTATATATGTAATTTTTATTTTTATATTTTTTTTCAATTCACTTAATTTATTATCATTAAAAAATATGTTTATGATAAATCTCCATAAAGCAAAAAAATCAAAATATTTTTTGGTATAAAAAATAAATAACACCATTTAGGTAGAAGAGTAAAAACATCAATAACTTGCTCCCATGTATACCTGAAAGAATGTAAAAATATTCCTGAACTATGATAAGTAACATTGCTAATTTTTTTAAAAAAATATTTATTTATATATTCTTCATCATATTCATTATTCAAATCTATATTTTCATCATACAGCCAATTAAAAGATGTATTTAAAAATGGGATAAGTGGAAAATATTCATATTTTTCGGATACTACTAAATTTTTCTTAATTTCTTGTTCTTTTCTCTTATTTTCTTCATTTATTTTATTATCGTCAATATAAGAATCTAAATATAAATAATTAGATTTCTTAATATATTCTTCTTCAAATTTTTTATTATAATGAGAATCATTAGATATGGGAAACGATAAACTATTTAAATGAGCTCTTATTTGGTGTGTTCTTCCCGTTATCGGTTGACATAATACAATTGATTCATTAATCTGAGAATTATATGATAAAAACATAAATTTAGTTATACTTGGTTTCAAACAATAATGGCAAAGCTCTTTATAATTAGAATTTGTATATTTTGTAAAAACATATTTTAATAATTTCTTACTTTCACAATACATATACCCAAAATCTATGATAAAATATTTATGATATATTTCTAATTTATCATCTTCGCTATTAGATATATTTTGAAAATTATCGTCAAAAAATTCTTCTTTTTCATATTTACTTATATCAAAACATTCTTTTAAGTCATTTTTTTTGTCTTTTATATATTCTATTAATTTTTTCATATTTACTTCCTCTTGAAAATCTTGCTTTTTGTAATTATTTTCATACAAAAATATATCGTTTTTAAAAGAATTACCATCATTAAATTTTAAAACATTATTATTTTTGCTATTATTGCAATATTCTTCTATTAAATCATTTATATCTTCACTTGAAACATTACTTAAGACTTTATTTCCATTTAAAAGTTCTTTAATTATTTTTCGAAAATCTCCATCAACTCTTGCTATATATGTTTTTTTAATTTTATTGTTTGATAAATTTTCAGAAAAAGATGTAGAAATTTTTTTATTTTTCCCAAAAAGTACAATACCTGAGGTTAGTTTATCTAATCTGTGAAGTGTATAGATATATAAGTTGTCATTATCTTTATTATCAACCTCTTCATTGTTTTTCACATTATTTTTTTTATTTAATTTCTTATTAATTTTATTATAAAATTTATTATCATTTTCATTACCTAATTTATTTCCTTTTTCATTATTCAATTCTTCCTTTTTGTTAATTGAATTGTTACAAAATATATTGTTTTCCTCACTTTCAGATGCGTGATCATTTGAAATACAACTAATCTGCTTGTCCTTTATGTATTTCAAACAATTCAAATAATAATCTATATTCATGTTATTATCATTTAAATCTTTAGAAGATGTTTTATTTAATTCAGTGGAGATATTTTCTTCATTTAGGTGATTTTTATTTATTTTATTATTTTTATTCTCTAAATTATTAGTATAGAAATTATCTTCACAAATTCTATTTTTCTGATGATTTATTAAATTGAGTTGTTCCTTTTTCTCCAAATTTTCAGTGGAATGATTACTTTGTATATTATAATTTTCATTGTTTGTTTGAAATTCGATGTTACTATTCTGAAAATTTGTTTTTTTGAAATTAAAACTTATTTTTATTATATCATCTAATTTATCATTTTTTGAATTGCTTAAACTCTGATTTTTTGATAAACACATATAATTCTGTAAAATTCTTAGAAGTGAATTATACTGATAGAACCCAACAGGATGGGTAGGTATGCTAGAAGATTTATATACACAAATAAAATTTTCATCTTCATACAAAATTATTATTTTACTAAATAAAACAGGTTTTTCAAATAATAATAATTTATGTTCAATAAAATCATTATTTTTAATGATATAATCACTTGAAACATTTTTATTATTTACTTTTATATATCCTTTTTTTATTGATTCTAAAAAATAATTCATATCATAAGCGCAAAATTCGGATGCTAGAACATCTGCTATTTTTTTTCCTATCCATCTTTTTTTGGAAAATAATTTGTAAGTGTAAATATATGGAGTTACAAAACGTAAATTATTTTTTATGAAATATTTTGGCTTAAATTTTTTATCTACAACATTTAAACCACTAGTATCAGGTATTATTATTTTCATAACTTTAAAAGATTCAATTATATTTGTTAACAATATTAAAATAATCAAATAAAACATATTTTTGTCATTTTTTTTTTTTCTTTTTTTTTAAAATTATTAACTTTAATAACAGAAAATAAAAAAAAATAATTATGTAAAATATTTAAAGTTTCTTAAAATATTAAAAAAAATTGAAAACGAATACAAAATATTTATTAAAAACAAAATTCAAATAATAGTATATTCAGTGAACATATATATATATATATATATATATGAACATATATATATGCATTAAAATTTAGGAAAAAAACTTCTCATAAAGTAATATAATGTATTTAAATAAAATATTTTTATTAATACATATGCGTATTAAAATGATTCTGTAGTATATTTTTTTTTTTTTATTGAAAAGAGATAAAATATTAATATATATGTATTTTTTTTTTAAAGTATAATTTTTTTTTAAGGCGTAAATGGAATTAATTGTTTCTTAAAAATTACAATTTATGATAATCAATACAGAACAAACAAAAAAAATTGAATTATAAACAAATATGAAATACATAAACATAATGGATAATGTTTAGAGCTTTTCTTGTAATAATTTTTTTTTGTTTTTATTTGAAATTAGTTGAATTCAAAACAATTACGAACTGTAGTATTAATAATTTTTTTTTTTTGGTTCATAAAAGAAAAAATCATATAAATATATTATTTAAAAATAAACAAAAAAATAAAAATAATGAAAAATTAGTAAAACAAAGTTTGTGTAATCTAAAAAACGAAAATATTTACACAATTTTAAATGATGAAATAAATAATTTAGGAAAAGAAATTGTGGAGGACGATACCTTTAGCTTACCTAAATATTGCCTTTTAGAAGAAAATAAATTTTATGATAATTTTGAATATCAAACTAGTGTAATAATATTTTTAGAAAATATTATAAAAAGTAAAAAGGATATTAGAAAAGATGTTATAGACTATTTAAAAGGGAGGTGTTCAAATATAATAGAAATGCTTCATTTGTCATCTAATGGAATTTTAAATATAAAAATAAAGAATGAATATATTCTTGAAAATTTTTTTGATTTCTATAAATTATATGTAAGAAAAAAAGGAGAAAAAAAAAAAAAAGAACTAATAAAGAAAAATGTAATTTTACTAGACTTCTGCGGTGTAAATATGGGAAAACATATGCATTTAGGACATTTAAAATCACTATTTCTAGGTTATGCATTAAGTAATGTTTTCAAATTTTTTAACTATACTGTTAAAAAAAGAAGTCATATAGGAGATTGGAATGTGAACATAGCATTAATTATAACATTTTTAATTTTATTTCATGATAATATGAATTTAGATCTATGTAATTCTGACTTAAATGAAATAGAAGGTAGTAAAGAAATATTTGAAATAAATGATATTAACAAAGTTAAAGAAAAGGATAAAAACACTAATAGTTCACCTTTTAATCAAATTAACAATGAAACAAAAAAAGAATATTCATTTAATAACAGTAAAGGAGAAGAAAAAAAAAAAATAGAAAATGAGAGATTTGTCCAACATTGGTTAAGAATTTTAAATGATTCAAGAGAACACATGTTCTATAATAATTACAAATATTTTAATACAAAAAAATATGAGAACATAAATTTACATAAAATAGAATATATATATAAATTATCAAAAATGCTTTATTCTATATCTGACATATTTAGAAAATGTACTAAAATTAGCTTAAAGTTAATGTACAAAAATGATGCAAAAATTATAAAAATGTGGAATATTATATGCAGTAACACAAAAAAGGTAAATATACATATTTTTATACATTTCCATTTAAATTATTAATAATTTTTTTTTTTAAACCTATAAAATTATATATACATTTTATTAATTTTTTATAGGAAAATGAAAAAATTTTTAAAAAATTTAACATACAAAAATTAATAGAAAAGGGGGAACATTTTTATGTTAAATATGTCCCGAAAATTTTGCAAAAAATGAAAGATGCAAATATTCTCTTTGAATTTAAAAATAAATTATGTGTTCTTTTAAAAGAAAGAGAAATAGTAGATAAAAAAAATAGTAATAATAATTATAATAGTACAAACATTTTAAGTAGTAATGATGATTATTATGACATTGTTAAAGTGAATGATGAAATCAATGATTACATTAAAAAGAATGATATTGATTTTTTGAAGAAAAATTTTAGTATATTAACTTTAAAAAGCGATGTTGGTTATACATACGCAGCTGTTGATATATCTGCTATATATTACAGAGTAAATATTGAAAAAGCGAATAAAATTATTTATGTAGTTGATGAAAATCAAAGAAAACATTTCATGCAAGTTTTTTCTATAGGGAAATATTTAAATTTGATTTCTGATAATACTGAATGTATATGCCTGAATTATGGTTACGTTTTAAATGAAAAAAAAAAAAAAATTAAAACAAAAGATATTTCAAATAATATTTTTGCTAAGGATATATTAAAAATAAATAAATCTATTAATGAAAATACAAACATACAAAATAAATGTAATTATGAAAAATATTATGAAGACTTAATATTATCATCTATAGTTTATTCATATATCAGTGTTAAGAATAGCAAACGACAATTAATAAATAATATTCTTAAAGAATTTCATTTGGAATATATTTATATAATTAAAAAGCACAATGAAATTCTTTTATCATTAGGAAAATTAAAAAATTATGATTACTCTTTTCTATTTAAAAAAAAATTTAATATAGAATCTAATCTAAAAAAATTAATATTATATATTTTAAGATTTAACTATATAATAGAAGAAGTAATTCATAAATATAACATTGAAAAATTATGTTCCTATTTATTTAGTTTTTCACAAAAAATTCATTATTTATTTCAGAAAGGTTTCATAAAAAATATAAATTCTTCATTAGAAGAAAGAAGTAAATTTTTAGAAATAATAAATTATGAAAAAACAGGAGGCGTAATTAATTTAGACTATAAGAATAGCAATAAGAATAATTCAGAAAAAAAAAAAAAAGTCTTGAATAGTTTGGATAAAACAAAAAATTTTGAATTCTTTTTAAAATATATTAAAAATGGTGGACATTCTTATACTAATAATGAAGACAAATATGTTTCAAAAGAGAAAGAAGAATTAGAAAAAACTAAAACCTATGTTTTGAATAGAATTCTTGAATTAATTATTATGAAATCTTATTTATTTTTAGTATCTAAAATATTTAATATTATAAATATTCGTTTAATAAATTTTTATTAAAAGAATTTTTAAAAAAGAAATATATTTTAACTTGTAACATTATATTTTTATCTTCCTAATAATTTATAACTAATTTTAATTTTTTTTACTTTTATTTTTAATTATATTCAGTACTTTATATAAAAAAATAACTAGTTTAAAATTTATTCTTTATCCACATGTAAAATTTGATTATAAAATGTTAATTTTTTTAATTATGTGAAAAGAGAAATAGGATTAAAATGTAATGAAATAAGTATATATGTTAAAAAATACATTACAAAACACAAAAAAAAAAAAAAAAAAAATATAACAAAAAAATATAAATTTATAATAAATAAGATTAAATGGATCAAAATAGTAATTAATAAATAAGGAAACAATGTTTAAAATAAAGTTGTTATTAATTCCCTAATTTTAAACTTAAAAATTACACTATGGGTTCCCATATATAAATATGGTTATTAATATGTATAATTTTTTTTCAGGTTTATTATATTAATTTTTAAGATATTATGTAAATCTGAATTTTTAATTTATTATTATAAAAATCATAAAAAAGACAAATTTTTACAAATTATAAATATTATTAATTTTTATCTTTTATAATTTATGCCCCTTTTTTTGGAATAGCTTTCGGAACAATCTTAGGTATAGCTTTAACAGGTGGTGGCTTTACATCTAACTCCTTACGAGTAACTGTGAAAAGAAAAGGGCAATATAAAAAACTTCATGTTTGTTATTTATATACAAAATGAAATATAAAAAGAACAAAATATAAAAGTTATTTGTTTTTTTCATTTTAAGATGTAGCTAAATTTCATTCAGGATATAATATTTTATTTCATAAATATTATTTAATATTTTTCGTGACACATATAATGGTAACTTATAAAATTATAGATCTTCTTATATTAGTGTATATACATAAATATTTTTTTTTCTTATAAACCTGGAGAAGGTTGGGTAGTTTCGTTTTTTTTCTCATTAACGTTATTTTCTTCATTTTTTTTTTCTACATCATTAGGTTCACAAATTTTAGGCTCATTTACTTTAGATTGCGTGCATCCCATTTCTAATTATAAAAAAAATGATACATTAAAAATACAAATGTTAAAATATGAATAATATAAATTATTATATTTTATATTAAAAATAAAATAAATCTTTGATCATATTTTATTTTTTTTTTTTTCTTTTATTGTTATATAAGAATATTAATAATAGTAAAAATAGTAATAATTTTCATAAAACATTAAAAAAAAAAGATACTTGGAAAGGAAATATAAAAGATTGAGAAAAATGACAAGATATAAATTACAACTATTAAAGCTTTTAAATTAAAAAAAACAAAAAGAAAATTTTATAATATTTTTGATATATGTTGAGAAAAATTAAGAGCAGATACATATAATTTGAAATTTTTTTTTTTTAATTGTGTTTTTTTTTTTTTTTGTTGTACAATTTGCGTACTTTCAGAAATTCGACAATTTGATTTTTTATTTAAATGTAGATTAACGGTTTTTACAGAAACCATTAATTAAAAAGAAAAAAAAAAAAAAAAAAATACTAATTACATTTACATAAATGAAAAAAATATAGCTAAAAACTACTTTTTAAATAAGATGAACAGTTCATATTCGTAAATTAACTTTTTTTTAATATAATTTCAATACATACTGATCTTTTCTCTTACACCTATTTTTCAAGGACAAGCGTGGTGCACATGCAACGTCATTTATTTTATTTTTACTGTTTAAATAAAAAGCTAGTTTTTTCTTATATTTTTTATCTCTTTAATTGTATCACCTTTAATTTTTTTTTTTTTTAATTTTTCTCATTTTATTATTATATATTTTATATTTTTATATTTTACTTTTTTTTTTTTTTTTTTTTTTTTTCTTGTATATAAGATATATTTAATTATAAATGAACCTTAAATTATAGAAGTTTAAATAAAAAATTGAAATTATATATATATATATATATATATATATATTTTTTTTTTTTATTTTTTTTTTTTTTTAAAAGAAGCTAAAATCACATTTTTGTAAATGTGATTTTCTTTTGAGTAATAATCTCTTAAATAATTTAATATATAAGAAACTATGAAAAATAATTAAAAATTTAAAGCATTACATCTATTAAATTTTGAAAAAATTAAAATACAAAAAATAAATGAAGTAAAATACTTACAGTTAAAATATTTGAATGTGTGTGCACATGGCATTTATTTTATTTTTTTAACTTTTTTTAATGTATTCACTGAAAAAAAAAACAAAAGTTAATTAATACAATAAGACATCTTTTTAAGCTAAAAATTTATGATTTTTCAAAATAAACATAAAAATAATATCAAAATTATAACATTTATTTTTCTTTTATCATATTTTTAAAATTTGGATTTCATTTATAAAGCATAACGTTTCTTAATATATTTTGGTTATATTTTTATGAAAACATAAAAATATGTTTTAAAAATAAAATAGTTTTATATATAAAAGCATTGATAGAAATCAATATTTATTTATATGTGTATATAAATTAAAATTTTATTTTATGATATTCTTTTTGTATTTTAAAAAAGTACAATATGTGAATTATATAATATCGCATTTTGCATTGAAAATAATGATTATATTTCTCTTCTACAAAATGTATCATATCCCTTTCCTTTCCTTTAAAATTTTTCTCATAATTTTCTTTGATTTCTTCTTATTAACTTCCTCAAATTTTGTTTCAGTTATATTTAATTTTATGTTTTTATTTAAAAAACTATAATCTGTGTTTTTGTCATAGTCAAAATTATGCCAAAAAAAGGACCAAGCATTATCTCCATTTTGCTTATATCCATTAAAATCTAGTAACTCATTTGAATATCTATTTATAGGAACAAAAAATGGATAAATATCATTTTTGTATTTTCTATGAGATAATTTCATTTTTAGTTGGAGAAAATTATTTTTATATATACAACTTATGTCACTTAAATCCACATAAGAAAATGGTCTGAATGCTCTTTGAATTCTTGTGTATTCATAGGATTTATTTCTTTTTTGCCTATTTTTAAAATTTTTACATTCCCATTCCTGAACCATTAAGTTTTTTTTCGTATTAATTAGAACAATAGGAGGCATAGGCTCATTTTTGTTAAATGTTGTATCAATATTATCATTAGTTTTATATGTGTATGTATATCTTTTTAAATTATAATTGTTCAGTTTGTTATATGTATTATTATACGAGTGAACATGTTCACATTCTATTTCAGTATCATCATTAATGTTTTTTGGAACATTTTCAATTTCATATGATGATAAATCATAAGAGAAATTATTATTTTTTACTTCTTTGAACTTTTCATAATACTTTGAAATGTCAAAATCATTATAAAATTTTTCGATATTATCTATTATTATAAGGGTATCATCAATTTTAATATCTGGTAACCATGTTTGAATAACAAAATAAACATTCTCTTCTATGTATTTATCTGTTTTTTTATCATTCATATATAATTTTTTAAGTACTTCATTTTTTTCCTCTTCATCCATATCTGTGTTAGAGGAATTTTTTTCCTTTGACGCATTTTTACTTACACTTTTTTTTTCAGAATTAGGTTTTAAAAAATTTCCTTTGACATCCATAATTTCATTAGTTTCTTGATATCTTTTAATATCTTCTCTTACTTTTTCTATTACCTTTTTGTTTATAAGTTTTTCTTTTTCATCAATACTTTTTATATCTTTTAATAATTGTAAGTTAACTTCATTTACATTTTCAAAAATTCTATGCATAGTTTTTTCATCAGCTTTGTAAGTTCGCTCATAAACATCAACTTTAGGAGAATTTCCGACTTGAACAACATAATCATTTTTTTTATTTATATAATTGAAGACATTATCACCTGTTTTTTCATTTTTTGCATAATTTATATCATTGTTAATATTACTAGTATTACTATTAACCTCTGCAAAGTCATATGAATTATTTTTATCACCTATATTTTTTAAATCACTGCTGTTTACGTTTGTATTTTTTATATTATTATTATCTATATCATTAAGTTCTTCAATATTTAAAGAATTTATTTCATTTTCAACTAAGTTGTTTTTATCTTTATTATAAATACTTTCTCTTATGTAATAAACATTTGTTCTTCCAAACATAGCTATATCTTTCGGTACATTTATTCCATTTCTTTCAAAATAAATTCTTTTTCTTTTATTTTCATTGCATTTTTTTGTATTTTTTAAAAAAAGAAAAAATAATTTGTTATAATTCAAGTTTCTACTACTTTTTTTATTCAATGAAATTTTATTCAAATGAGTACATTTTTTGCTTATTTTTATATTATTTACAATAATTTTATTTAAAAAAAATAGAATTATACAAAAAAAAAAAAGTTGAAAATGTATCATATTTTCATTTTAAAAAATATAAGAGTTTATAATTAATATAAAATAAAACTGAGAAGTAAAAATATATTTAACGATAAATTGTCTTCATTTTTAAATAAAAATACAAACAAATTTTGCATTATGATATATATGTATAAAAATACAATTCTTAAGCATCATAAAAAAAAAAAAAAAAGATAAAATGAAATAATTTATAAAATTCTCAAAAATTATACATACTCTAGTATATATTATTAATCTTATGTGGAATAACTTATGAGAAAAAAAAAAAAAAAAAAAATATAATGTAGAATAAAAAATAGCAATATTTAATCTAAAACACAATTTTTTTTTATTTAGATAAATGAAAAAATTATATTTATTTAAATTTGAGCTAATAAATGAAAAATTTATTAAGAAAAGTGTATATTTATTTTTTTCTTTAAGAAGAAAATATTAAGAATTACAAAATAAAAAATAATTACAATAAAATTATCAAGAAAAAAAATACATAAAAAATTATTTATTAAATTTAATCTTTTATTTGTTGATGTGATAAAAATTGTTTAATAAAAAAAGTGCTTTTTAAAATATCATTATTTGTTATATTAAAACATAACTCATTTTCGTTTTTAATATGTTCATTTAAATATAATTCAAAAGACGATTGAATATTCAAATCCTGATCAGTTTTTAAAGTAAAGCTATACGAAATAGAATGGTAAAGCAATAAAAATTGTTTATAATTTTTTATTTTAAATTTTTTACATACATTGATAAGGTAGTTAACATCTGATTGAATTTGTAAAATCATGTTTTTATTTAAATTATCTATATTTTTTATATAAAAAACATATTTTTCTGATAAGTGGAAAAACAATTGCTGTAACACTTGATCATTTTTGTTTTCGTAAAATATTTCAATATATGTGAAAATAGTTTCTACAATTAAACAAATATTTTCTTCAGGATCAAAACTTTCTATTTTTTCATTATCATTTAAAGACACAATTTTTGAAACATATTTAATTAAATAATCATATAGAGGAATTAAAGAGAAATATATAATATTTTTCAAAATGGTGTTTTTTATTTCGTTTAATTTACTTAAGGATAATTTAAAAAGATGTTTACCGCATTCCTCATTTTCTATATCTAAATTTATGTCAATAAAATTATCTGGAATTGATTTATCCATTTGAATTATTAGATTATTTGAAAAACTTTCTTCATTTATTTTAATTTCACTTTTTTTTGGAAGAATTAAATTGTTTTCGTTAGAATTTACATTATTTGGAATATTTTCATTTATTATTATCCCTTTGTTTTTGACATTTATTAATTTTTTTAAAAAATCCTCATTAAAGAAAAAATTATGTATGTGCAAAATATTTGCTTCAATTTCAGATGGATACTTTTCTTTTTGTAAATAAAATTTTGATAAACAGTTAAAAATACTATTACTTATAAAATAGTTATATGTTTTTTCAAAAATAAAAGAACCAAAATTTTCATATTCTTTTGTTATATCATTAAATATGTTTAATAGTTTCGTGAATATTATAATTATATTCTTTATATAATCAATAATTTTATTAGATACATTAAATTCTTCTTTTAATTGCAAAGATTCATTAATTTTTATTTGACTTTTTTTTTTTTTATCAATTTCATTTTTTATTTTTATTACCTCTTCTTTTATATTATATGTAATTTCATAAAGAAAATTATAAATATTTATAAAAAGGAAAAGAAATTCTGTATCATGATTACTTATAAAAGAAAAAAAAATAACAAATCGAAAGAAATGATAATTAAATATGTCTTTATTATTTACTTCATAATATTTTTTTTCTATTGTATTTTTAATATCATTTTGTATATCCTTAAAGAATATTAGTAATTTACCATCTGATAAAAAATTATTTCTGTCAAAATTACTTACTTTTAAGTTTATATTTTCAAAATATTCCATATCAAAATGTTGAACTCTTGTAACATTATATATATATTCATTAATTATAACTTTATTTATAAAAGTAGATTCCCTTAATATTTTTTCAAGTAGATTTTTTTTTGATATAAAAAAGGAAGAATTCGATAAAATACCTAAGCTTATTTTTAAGGATTCCATAATTTTAAATATGAAATTTTTATTTTTATTCATTATAGCTTTATCATTTTTATTAGAACTATCTAAATTTTTTATAATATCACTATTTTCAATATAATTACAAACAATATTTATGCTTTCTTTAAATAAATGAACAAAATAATCCTCTATATAACTAAAATCTTCATTTATATTATTATCTTCAGATTTTAAATAATCATTAGATTTATTTTTTTCTTTATAATTTATTTTATCAATATTTATTTCTGTCAAATTTTCTTCACTCATCTTATTTTCGTTTTCATTAGATATATCACCTGTTTCTGCTTCTACTTCTGCTTTTTCAATAGAGGTTTCAATTAAATTTTTGTCATTTAATATGGAATTTGTATGTAAGCACATTGTATCAGAAAATTCGTTTAATTTGTTTTCATTTTTATTATTTACTATGTATATAATAATAAAAATCATTTTTTCTATAATTTCTTTTCTTTCCTCTATGAATGTAGTAAAATACTCATAAAAATTAATAATGCTATTATAAAAAAATGAATCATTTTCGGAATAAACAAATTTGAGAAATATTTTGTTAAAATTTATAATTATGAATTCTATAATTTTTTTTATAATTTCATTAATCAAATACTCATTTTTGTATGTCTTTATATTTGTGAATTTTAAATATGTTTTAAATAAAATGATGTATGCTTTTAATATTTCACTGATATTAATATTCACTTTATCAAAAATATATGAATACAGGATATCATTTAATAAAGTGAAAAAATCGTCAAAGAATTTATTCGAGTATAATGATATATCTATGCAGGAATTCTCTTTAAAGTAAGTAATAATTTGTTCATTTTCATTTATATATATTAAGTTTTTAAGTAAAGTAAAAATGTTTTTCATTTTATCATCAATGTCTAATTTCATATTTTTTGTTGTTGAAAACATTTCATTCATATCTTTTTTCAAAGTAGGAAAAACTTTTAGGAAAAGTAAACCCTTTTTTATGTTTTCTAATTTAGTTTTTGCTTCAATACTTTTTATTAATAAATTTTCAAATTTTAAATTGTTTTTACTTTCATCTAATTTAAATTCATTATCTTCATTATCTTTTTTCTCATCTTCATGTATTTCCTCACCTTCAATTTTATATTCCCTTTCAATATCACTTTCAAAGTTATCATTCCATTCATCTTTTTTATTTTCTTCAAAATTTTCTTTTCTTATGTTAGTTTCCTCTTCATTACCTTTTTTTTTTTTCTTTTTTAACTTATATAAATTATTCTTTTTCATCATATTAGATATATTTTTACCTTTTTTGTATATGATATTTAAATTAAGCAGATTTTCATTCATTATATTTGTGTATCTTTTCATTTGGTACATCTTTTCTTTATAATTTTCTATTTCTTCTCTTATTTTATCATTCATATAATTCTTTTGTCCCTGAATTTCTTTTTTCAAATTATTAACACTTATTAATATTTCATTATCATCATTTTTTTTTATTAGTGTTCCAAAATAACAGTTTAAAAAAATTTCAGAATTGTATTCACTTTTTTTTAATTCTTTTAAGACACTGTGATCATCCATATATCCTAAATTTCATGAAATATATATAAAATAATTAAAATTTTGAATACATATAAAACAAATACATAACCGATAGTAATATATCTATGGTTAATCTTTTTTTTTATACAAAAATATTAATGCTCAACAGAAATAAAAAATAATTATATAAAAATATTTTTTTATAATAGGTAATAAATTTAAAACATTTAAAATTAATTCGATTCACTTAAAAAAAAAGTTTTAATAAAATTTTTTTTCTTTTTAATAAATATTTTAATCTTTTAAATTTATTAATTTTTTTTTGAGTAAAATATAATATATATTAATATTTATTACAGAAGTTACATATGTAAATAAAATAAATATATATATATTTGTTAATTTGCTATCAATTTCTATATAAGGGTATTTTTAAAATTTGTCAATTCTTTTATATTTTTTCTTATTATTTTTTCACCTAATTGATCATATATATACAAATTCTTTGTTTATAAAATATATTATTTTATATTCTTATTAAAAATGAGAGAGAAAAAAGATATAAAAAGAAAAAAATGTTAAAAATTGAAAGATGATGGTTAAATTATTTTGTTTTAGCATATTTTTATGGTTATGTGTAAAAAGTTATAATATCAAGAAAACACAAATAATCACAAATAGATATGGAATTGTTAATAAAAATGGAGTAAATTATAATGTATTGAAAAAGAAGAAATTTTACAATTACAGTAAATTAAAAATTTATTCATCTAAAGAAAAAGATTCAGGAAATGGAAAATACAAAAATATAATAAGAAAATATATTTTTAATTTTTGTTTAAAAAATTCTATATATTTTACAAATAGTTTAGAATACATAAAAAATATATTAAGGAAAACTAAAGAAATGCTATTTAAAAATTCTTTAAAAAAACAAATTTTTATTTCTGTTAGCTTTTTTTTTATACATTTTTATCTACTCTCGAAACATTTCCTTATCCTATTTCCATATCAATTAATACCAAACCATTCGAATATTCTTATGAGCCTTGATTTAAATAATACACTTTTTATTTTAACATCTTTATATTTTCTAAAAGATATTAAAAAAAATATAGAAAAATTTAAACAAAGATTGAACTTTAAAAGATTTAAACTAGAATTACAAGAAAATAAAAAAAAAAATATTTTATCTATATCAGTTCTTTTAATTGCGTCATACATTTTATCGGGTAAAAAAAAAAAAAAGAAAAAAAGATACTTCAAATGTTTGCACATACATATATATACACTTTTTTTTTTTTTTTTTTTTTAGGATATGTATCTTTATACACTGAAAATATTTTAAATTTTTTAAAAGTTTTTAAGTTTTCAGTTTCAGACAATATTATAAAATCCTTACAAGTTCTAAAAAAAAAGAAAAAAACTAAATATACATATACCTAGAAGAATGCACATATTTTTTTTCTTTTTTCTTTTTTTTTTTCTTGCAGATACTAAGCGGCCACTTTATGTGGGTAGTATGTAGTATAATAATAATTCGGAGATTATTATATCCTTATTTTAAACATAATAAAAGCAATTTAAATTTTTTATATAAAGAAAGTTGGTATTTTAAAGTAATATATGGTTATATGTTTTCTCATTTTATTTTTAATATAATAGATGTTTTTAATAACATAATCCTAAATTATTTTCATAATAATGAAATACATTTTGATAATAGTATAGATGAAATTGTAAATGAAAAAGAATTAATATCAACAATTTTATGTATAATCAGCCCTTGTTTTAGTGCACCTTTTTTTGAAGAATATATATATAGGTTTTTTGTTCTTAAGAGTTTGAATTTATTTATGAATATACACTATTCTGTTATATTTTCATCTTTGTTTTTTGCTATTCATCATCTTAATATTTTTAATTTATTACCTTTATTCTTTTTATCTTTTTTTTGGTCATATATTTATATATATACAGATAATATACTTGTAACTATGCTTATTCATTCTTTTTGGAATTTATATGTATTTTTAACTTCTTTATATAATTAATCATTTTTAATCTATTCTTTTTTTTTTCTTTTTTTTCCTTTTTTCTTTTTTTCCTTTTTTCTTTTTTTTTTTTTTTTATTTAAAATTTCAAATTTTTATAAAGTGTTTAATCTAAAGTTTTTTTCAATTACTTTATGTTCAAAAGCTAAAAATGTTAAAAAAAAAAAATAATTAAAAGTTTTTCTTATATTTCTATAATAATTTTAAATACAACAAAAAAGTATATTGTAGCTTTAAATAATTCTATAATAAATGTTGCTTTTATTTAAAAAAAAAAAAAAAAAAAAAAAAAAAAAATAAAAAAAAAAAAAAAAAAAAAAAAAAAAAATAAAAAAAAAAAAAAAAAAAAAAAAAAAAAATAAAAAAAAAAAAAAAAAAAAAAAAAAAAAATAAAAAAAAAAAAAAAAAAAAAAAAAAAAAATAAAAAAAAAAAAAAAAAAAAAAAAAAAAAATAAAAAAAAAAAAAAAAAAAAAAAAAAAAAATAAAAAAAAAAAAAAAAAAAAAAAAAAAAAATAAAAAAAAAAAAAAAAAAAAAAAAAAAAAATAAAAAAAAAAAAAAAAAAAAAAAAAAAAAATAAAAAAAAAAAAAAAAAAAAAAAAAAAAAATAAAAAAAAAAAAAAAAAAAAAAAAAAAAAATAAAAAAAAAAAAAAAAAAAAAAAAAAAAAATAAAAAAAAAAAAAAAAAAAAAAAAAAAAAAAAAAAA